GGCTTCGGGATGTACCATTTTTCTGGTAGTCTTCGGAGCTCTCGGGCTCATTGAAAAGGGACACCCCCATTTCTCAAGTGCGCGGGGAGATTTTTTTTTTTTTTTAATTTGGAAGGGTGATGAGAAGCGGAGCAAAAATGCATGTATGGGGGCGCGCGGATGCACTAGAAGCCTTGGGTCAAATGCCTGTTTTTCTTAAGAGGACTGGGGAGAATGGGAAAGGGGTACCCTGCCTTTGGGCCCCAATCCTGGATGCTCTCAGATGAGCTGGTCCAAGGTTCTCCAGCTGGTGCCTCTGCGTCCTTCCAGATGGGGTCCGGGAGGGAGGAGGCGGTGGAATTTTCGTGAGGGAGAGATGTAGGACCACGGGAGGGACGAGTGTGGGTCAGAGTCTTTATTTTTGCCTTTTCTCTCCACTCCCTTCTGCCCCCCTTCCTGCCTGGAAGGAGACGCCTCTTTGACGGAGCTGGAAAGGAGGAACGAAAACCGCTTCCTGGAGCGCCAGAGCATCGTGCCACTGCGCCTCATCTACCGCTCGGGAGGCGAAGACGAAACTCAGCATGACGAGCTCAACACTCGGGTGCGGGGCGACCTCGGCGGCCGGCAGGTGAGAGCGCGGTGCAGGAGGTGGTCCTTTGAGCGGCCTGGCCCACCCGCGACCTCACGTTTGCTCTTGGTTGCCCTGGAGACGGGTGACTTGGGTGAAATCAGTGCAATCCTAATGCGAGTCATGCAAAAAGAAGGGGGAAACGGGACTATAAAAATAAATAAGTAAATAAAAATAACCGAAAGAAGCACTGCTGAGAGCTTTGCTTTGCTCCATGGGAAGTAGGGTACTTTGGGCGGGATACCTCCAGCAGAGCAGTAACCTTAGTGAAGGGGCGGGGAGGGAGTAGACCCTCTCATTTTAGTCACGCAAAAAACTTGCATAGGGGAGGAGATTATATATGGGCAGGTTTGCATCATCATTGTTGTTTAATGCTGAAAGCTTAGACTTTGTAATGCGAGATTGGTACTGTAAAAGAATGGAGGGGGGTGGGACGGGGCAGGTGTTCCTAAGAAACCCAAACTGTAAAAATAAGTTAAACTTAAGTTCTCTGATCATTTAGATTTGTGGAAACCAAAGATTCACCACTACTTTCTACAAAAGGGGTTCCCCCCGCCCCTTTCTTCATTAGTAGCAGTTCTCTTGGTGTAATTAGGGCTGTTTTGTTTATTAAGCATATAAAATTATTTTTAAAACCTAGCTTATTATTGTATCTGTATTTAGGTCAATGTCATATATCCACAGATATGTTTGAAAATTATTTAGAATTTATCAGCTAATTTTAGTAAATATTTTGGGAGCTGTGTAAGTATTTTTGATTTTTTGGTTTTAACCTTGGCGGGCGTTTCCCCCATTTTTAGTTCCTTTTTAGGTTGGAATTTTTTCTTTTGTTTGAATTTTTTTTAAACTTCACTGAAGCAAAGGCAAACCGAACATTTTCACATGCTTAAATATACTCACCAATACTTTAAGATATATCTGAGTGAAGTGATATTTATATTGACT